TAAGCTTTACTCTTGCATAGAACTTACGTAAGCTTTACTCTTGCATAGAACTTACACGTAAGCTTTACTCTTGCATAGAAGTGTTGATGAGTACAGCTTAAGGTTGGATTTAAAAGACTATCATTTGTGACAAATAAACTTATTTGAAATATTTATAGGAATTAAAAGAAGACAATCAAGTTTTATTAGAGACAAAAACCATGTTGGAAGATCAACTAGAAGGAACTCGAGCTCGTTCTGATAAATTACATGAATTAGAAAAGGAGAATTTGCAACTAAAGGCTAAACTGCATGATATGGAAATGGTGAGTTTTTTGAAGTAGACCAATTACATGCCCTTTTAGGAAAAAGTCTAGCATTAAACTGAGGTCTGTCTAATTACAGGGATGGCTAATGCCCTTGAGGCTCTAGCTAACTAAGTTAGATGCTTCAATTGTTTTATAAATACAGGAATGATAGGAAAGTCAGCTTTTATTTCAGAGGGATGTTATTATTTTCTCTTCTATCATTAAAAAAAAAACAAACTACACATACACAGTTAAACTGTTGTGTTACATACCTTAAAAAATACAGACATAAATTTATTTGCCAAAAATCGTGGATCAGAATTATTTCATTATTTTCCCAGAACAGTATGTTGATTCTGAAGGAAGGTTTTCACAGTGCCCTCAAAAATCACTTTAAAAGGATGCCAGACACCTAATGATCAGTAATAATAATTACAACACCTGATTATTGCCTTCAAACTTTGAAATTTGGAAGGAACCCAAACTTTATTCTTATATTAATTGGTTTATGATAAATAAAAGTTCTACATAATGAAATATTAGCCTGAAATTATTTATACCATTTCTTAACTTTATTTTCTCTCCCTACTCCTTTTACTCATGCCAATATAAAGGAACGTGATATGGATAGAAAAAAGATTGAAGAATTGATGGAAGAAAATATGACTTTGGAATTGGCACAAAAGCAAAGTATGGATGAATCATTACATCTTGGCTGGGAGCTGGAACAGATATCCAGAACTAGTGAACTATCTGAAGGTATTATAAATGTTTTATTTAAATGGATGGATGAATAAATTAAGTTGTGTTTATGCTTACATTTTTCTGGACTTTTTATTTTCCCCAGATGAACATATCTCAGAAAACCAGCTGCCTCCATAGACAAGATTTCCCAAAGTAACATATTGTTACCATATTCCTGGGTCTGGTCCTTTAGTTTTGCCTGTCTTATAACTCAGTTTTATAAGTACAGTAATAGATTTGATTAGCTATTTGAGATCATGTCATGTTATTCTCACAAGGGGCTAGAATGCCAGTTAGTTTTCTTTTGAGAAGTATATGCATTCACTGGAGTGCAAACCACAAGGTCGATGGTTCAAACTCACCAGCTGCTCCTCGGAAACCCTATTCAGGGTCACTAAGAGTTGGAATCGACTCAGTGGCACTTAACAATAAATAAACAGTAAATCATTATTAGCTGGTCAACCTGTTCTTTGTCTATGTGCAAACCTAACTGTTGTTATATGCCGTGGAGTTGGTTCCGACTCATAGTGACCCTGTGCAGGGTTTCCAAAGCTATAAATCTTTACAGGAGCAGAAAGCCTCATCTTTCTCCTGCGGAACAGCTGGTAGTTTCAAACTGCTGACCTTGCGGTTCGCAGCCACTATGCTACCAGAGCTCCTTGCAAACCTAACTAGGAAGCCTAAATATAGTGGGAATATTCTTAGGTGCATATTTGTTAGAATAAAGGAAGTTGAGGCATTTTATGGCTACTTCTGTTGTTGTTATTAGTTGTTAAGTGCTCTGGAGGTACTCCTAATTCAGCAAACCCCATATAGGGTTTTTGAGGCTATAAATCTTTGCAGAAACAGAAAGCCTCACCTTTTTCCTGTGGAGCAGCTTTTGGATTTGAACCACCAACCTTCTGTTTAGCAGTCCTGTACTGATCCAATAGAACCACATTTTTGTTGTATGCCATCAAATTGGTTCTGACACTCATAGTGACCCTGTTTAGTGTTTCCAAGAGCAGCTGATGGGTTTGAACTTGCGGTTACCAGTCCAGTGCTTATCCTACGGTGCCACACCAGGACTCCAGGACTCCTTGTTTTTGTTGTTATTGTTAAATGGTGTCGAATTGGTTCTGACTCATAGGGACCCTTTTTGTTGTTGTTGTTATGGACCGTAATACATGTTAATTCTTATTATAGGATTATGCCTACCAACCAGTTCAACCCAGCTATGTCCTGGAGACAATAGAAGACCTCTGGATAAATTTTAACTTTTGACTCCTTTTTTCAAGGTTCTGAATGACCTTTCTCCTTTCTCAGTGATGTGTATACATACATTTGTTTGTGCTAATACTGATATTTGTTATTGTTGTTAAGTGCCATGAGTCAGTTCCAACTCATAGTGACCCTGTATAGGGGGCCCAAGGTGCGGTTGGTGTGTTTAAACTGTTGCAGTTAACAGTCCAGTGCTTATCCTACACAGTGCCACACTCAGATTGCATAATTCCTAAGTTTCCCATTATTAGATTATTCCACCTGCATGCTTTCCTGGTGGAGTCCTGGTGTGCCCCTGTAGGATAAGCACTGGACTGCTAACTGCAAGTCGGCAGTTCAAACCCACCAGTCTGTACTTAGAAACCCTATACAGGATTGCATTGAGTCAGAACGGACTCAACAGAACTTAATAACAACATGTCTTCCTTCAGCAGATATTTAGTAAGAAAATAGCGATACCAGGCCCTGAGGCTATAGTGGTGAGGTGGACAGAAGCTCTGACAGAATAAGTAATTCCACAGACAGTTCATTCTATTGCTTATTTAGTGGGATTTTTCTAATTTACTTGCCGAGATGTGTTCCTTAAAATACTTAGGTGCTAGGTTACTATGAGTCAGAACCGACTCAACGGCACTTAACAACAATTTTTACTGTATTCCTTATAAATCGACTTACAAAAAAGCAGCTCAGACTAAAATAAAAGTAGTTTTAATTACTGTCCTAGTTAAGTAATTTTAATTCAAAAGTAGTTTTAATTCCTCTCCTAGTAAAGAATTTCCTCTCTCTTAAGTGGGGCAATAATTTTAAGTTACTTCTGGAATTGGCGTGAGGGTTAAATTTGTTAATACTTGTACCTAGAACAATGCCTGGTAAATGTAGTAAATGTTCAAATGTTATCATTATAGCACAGTTTTTTTAAACCGATATTAACTGGGCTCATAGACCTGACTATTCCTTTTAATATGGTGATATTTTTCTTTTTTTAAAATCACTTTTACATTTCAGAAAATTTACTTCCAGAATTTGTCTACACATCTATTTTAAGCATCATCAGGTCAACATGTGTATACAGTTCCGATTCCACTATTTTACTAAGATAGGCACTCTCCCATGCTATTGAAAATGATAAACATCCTTTGTAACTCTTCCTAATTCAACCTGAAGCCCTGTCATAGTATTGACAGTGTTATGAATGAGTACTGTGTATTATAGTTTAATCTAGTACATGTGAAATTCATAACTACAAATCATACATTTTTGTGGTTGTGTGCCAGTGACTCAATTCTGACTCTTAGTGACCCCATAGGACAAAGGAGAACTGTTTCACAGGGTCTTCAAGGCTGTAAATCTTTTCAGGAACACGTGAATGAGAACTTTACTGAAAAAGACTTGCAATTAAAAAGAATAAGTTACTGTGAGTGTGAATGATCCTGGGGTCCTGGTGTGGCACTGCAGGGTAATGCACTAGACCACAGGGTCAGTTGGAACCACAAGGTTGGTGGTTCACATTCCTGAGCCTCTCCTTGGAAACCCTATACTGGGTTGCTATGAGTTAGAACCGACTTGAAGGCACTTAACAACAACATGCAGTACACTAGCTTTTATGAAAGATTAGTCACATACTAACTAGAACAAGTACTAGAAATAAAAATTGAGGCTTCTTAAAATCTGGGGTCCATTTTACTATGTCTAAGCCACTCCTGGGGAACCCTGTGGTCACTATGAGTCAAAACTGACTTGAGACACTTAACAACAACATTTGCAATATATGTGTGGTGGAGGGGCGGGGGGGAGGCAGGTTGTTGTTATGTACCACTGCATTGGTTCTGACTCATAGTGACTCTCTATAATATTTCCTAAGAGAGGTATATGTTGTGTATGTATGTTTCTTGGCTTCTTATGATGGAGTCTTTAAAATGTGCTCAAAAACAAACATAGAAATACCTTCCTGAATCTGCATCCACTTCTCCTGAAATCTAGGATTTTGAATGAAATTTATATATATTTCATTTGTAAATACCAATTTTTTTTTTATATCATCAATTATTTAGCGTCTGCTCTTGCTGTTGAGTACTGCTGAGTTAGTTCTGACTTATAGCAATCTTTATAGGGTTTCTGAGGAGCAGTTAGTGGATTTGAACTGCCATCCTTGTAATTAGCAGTCCAAGTGTTTATCCTATAGCACCACACCAGGACTCCAGAGAGTCTGCTGTTTGTTGTTGTTAGTGCCATCAGGTCGCTTCCAACTCATAGCAACCCTTTCAAGGATTTCCAAGGAGCAGCTGGTGAGTTTGAACCACCAATCTTGTGGTTCAAACTGACCTTGCGGTCCAATGCATTATCCTGCACCACCACAGCAGGACTCCAGAGTCTGTTTTAGAGTTATTTAAAAATGATAATTTTTGGCTTACTAATAATGAGAGAGAGCATCATTTCCAGAACTGCAAACGAAGTTTTCATGTTTAAAAATGTAATGCTGAAATCTACTTAGATAATTTCCCTTGCCAGAATGAAGTAGATGTTGTTCTTTGTACTTTAGCATTGATTCTTCATTTATAGGTAGCCTTCCTCAAAATGGCTGGTATATACTATCTTCCCTTTCTTGAATGCATGTTCGATTTTTTACCTTCCAAATCCCTGTCTTTAGTTATGTCAAGGTATGATATGGCACAGGATGTGCTTTACACTTCCTATTTGAGCCACACAATGACTAGATATACAGGGCTATCACTGTTACACTTCATACAATTAACCTAAGTTTCACTGAAGTGAAAGTGGCGTAAGCATTGCTAAGGAGTTCATTTTTCATGGAATTAGAACTGGAACTCAAGTGTCTTGGTTTAAGTTTTGTGCTTTAAACTAGATTACATGTAGATCCGTTAAATTTTCTCATTTAACTTTCTTATCCCTGTTTTATGTTTTTCATAGTGTCTATCTCATATAACTAGGCAACACACGTGTGTTTGCATATAATACTTTAAGTTGTAAAGAGTATATAAAAGTTATATCAATGGCATGTTTTTCAATATCGTAGCACCACAAAAATCCTTGGGCCATGAGGTGAATGAGTTAACATCAAGTAGGTTATTGAAGTTAGAGATGGAAAACCAGAGTTTGGCAAAAACTGTAGAAGAGCTTCGGAGTAATGTGGATTCTGTAGAAGGCAACACTTCCAAAATCCTGAAAATTGAAAAAGAAAATCAAAGACTAAACAAAAAGGTAAATGAAAATTGCATATTTAATGTAATGTTCCAAAACATGTAAAAGTTAGATAACACTGGTAGTAGAACATTTGTGTCTCCGTTTTTAAATATATCATTAATATTGTTTTAACTTGCTATAAAACTGTTGAAATATACATAAATGTGAAAGAACGAACTCATATACATTGTTACTCAGCTTCAGCAGAGTAACTTAAAGCTAATCTAACTTCTTTCTGCTTCTGCATATTCTCCGCTGCACCGCTAGATGATTTTGAAGCAAATCCTAGACATGGTACCATTTCATTCATGAATATTTCAGTGTAGAGCTCTAAAAAGTAATGAATATGTCCTAAAAGCATGAACAGTGTGACATTATCACACACCCCAAATTCATAATTCCTTAAAAACATCATCAAACATTTGGTCAGTATGTTTCAATTTTTACAATCACCATTTGGATATTAAAACTATTTCATTCTCTACTCAGTGGTATTCTTTGTTTTAGCATGTTTCTACTGTTGTGAAATATTTAATGATTTTTGTGTGTGTGATTTAATTTTCTTTAGGTTGAAATTCTTGAAAATGAGATTATTCAAGAAAAGCAAAGTCTTCAGAATTGTCAGAATTTAAGCAAGGACCTAATGAAGGAAAAAGCTCAACTTGAAAAAACTATAGAAACACTTAGAGAAAATTCAGAGAGACAGGTTCATAATTTTCTTATTAATTAACTTGTTATAAAATAAGCAAAATGTACATTTTATTCATGAATGTTATTTGAAATTTACATAAACAAAATGTTTATATAACATTAAAGGAAAATATTTTAGAATTTTTTAGATTGTAAAGTAACAATAGCAGTTTTATCTTATTTTCTCTCCAGTGTATTTTAGAAAAGTTGATGGAAAACCTTAGAATTTTTAAAACTTCCTGTATGTAAAATTTTCATGGACCTGGGTTGCTTGAGTAGGAATTGACTTTGATGAACACCCAACACCAACGCAGTATTTTCAGTACCACTTACGCCTTAAAATCTCTATGGGAAAAGTCTGTGGATTCTGAAATCTCTGTGTAAAATTGGGGAGGTATCCATCTGTACTCTTACCCCACTGAAGAGGAAGAAATATGGTGGTAGTGGTCATCCGACTCATAGTGATCCCTATGCCCGAGAGAACAAAACACTGCCCAGTCCTGCGCCATCCTCACAGTTGTTATGTTTGAGCCCGTTGTAGCTGCCACTGTGTCAATTCATCTTGTTGGGGATTGCCCTCTTTTTCTCTGACCCTCCACTTTTCCAAGCAGAATGACCTTCTCTAAGGACTGGTCCCTTCTGATAGTATGTCTAAAGTATGAGAGGTGAATTCTCGCTACCCTGTTTTCTAGGGAGCATTTTGGCTGTACCCTTCCATCTTAGATACTATCAAATTTGGTTTCAAGTTTTTATAGGTCCTTCTTATTTTATGCTTTTAAAAACTGGATAGATGGGGTGACTTGCCACGTTTTAATTTCTGTTTATATTTTTAAAGTGTATTTTGGTTTATTTATTTTATATTGTCCCGTTACTAGTCTCAGGCCAAATATGTCAGAATCACCTTTCAGGGTACTGGTAAAATGCAAATTTCTCTAGGTCTACAGAATAAAAATTCTAGAGCTAACTAAGTATGAATGTACACATTTACAAGCTTCTTTGGGGATTATTTTATACATTCACGTTTGAAAAATATTATATTAGCTCACACTATGAATTATATTCATTTTCAAATGTATCCGGTGATTTTGTTACTTTGAAGTTTCCTCATTCTTTTCCAAAATGGATCTGCATGCTTATGGGCACATATAATATAGCAAATATATACTGAGGACCCCTGGTATGTAGGCATTGCAGATGTTATTTAATAAAAGTAAAAATATGTCTCCATAAGAGAGCGATATGTGTGTCTTTCACCTATATTGAGGCAGGTAACTATAAATAATCACAAGACTTGTTTAATACTAAATACTTCTCTCTTAACCATTTCTTTAGATTGGGAATTCCCTAATACGTGAGCTTTAACATCCTAGCAATACATATACACAGTGGTAGCTCAGTAAATATTTGAAAATATTCACTCTTTTTATGTTCTACTTTCCCTGTTAGTTTTTAAACTAACCTCTTAATTAACTAACATATTTAATTTTCACTCAAGTAACAGTTTTTCATTTTCTCCTCCTCCCTTTGTTTTTAATTAGATTAAAATGTTAGAACAGGAAAATGAACATCTGAATCAAACCGTGTCTTCCCTAAGGCAGCGCTCCCAGATAAGTGCTGAAGCAAGGGTGAAAGATATTGAAAAGGAAAACAAAATTCTCCATGAATCTATCAAAGAAACAAGTAGCAAATTAAACAAGATTGAATTTGAAAAAAGGCAAATTAGAAAAGAACTGGAACATTATAAAGAAAAAGGCGAACGATCAGAAGAACTTGAGAATGAGTTACATCATCTTGAAAAAGAAAACGAGTTGTTACAGAAAAAGATAACTAATTTAAAAATTACTTGTGAAAAAATTGAGGCCTTAGAACAAGAAAATTCAGAGTTAGAAAGAGAAAATAGAAAATTGAAAAAAACATTGGATAGTTTTAAAAACATTACTTTTCAGTTAGAATCCCTAGAAAAAGAGAATTCCCAACTTGATGAGGAAAACTTAGAATTGCGAAGGAATGTGGAATCCTTAAAGTGTGCAAGCATGAAAATGGCCCAGCTACAATTAGAAAATAAAGAATTGGAAAGTGAAAAAGAGCAACTTAAGAAGGGTTTGGAGCTCATGAAGGCATCATTCAAGAAAACAGAACGATTGGAAGTTAGCTACCAGGGTTTAGATACAGAAAACCAAAGGCTACAGAAAGCCCTGGAGAACAGCAATAAGAAAATTCAGCAATTAGAGAGTGAACTGCAAGATTTAGAGATGGAAAATCAAACATTACAAAAAAACTTAGAAGAGTTAAAAATATCTAGCAAAAGACTAGAACAGCTAGAAAAAGAAAATAAATCATTAGAGCAAGAAACTTCTCAACTGGAAAAGGATAAGAAACAGCTGGAGAAGGAAAATAAGAGGCTCCGACAACAAGCAGAAATAAAGGATACCACATTAGAAGAAAATAATGTGAAAATTGGAAATTTGGAAAAAGAAAATAAAACCCTATTCAAAGAAATTGGCGTATATAAAGAATCCTGCATTCGCCTAAAAGAATTAGAGAAAGAAAATAAGGAACTTGTGAAAAGAGCCACCATTGATATAAAAACTTTGGTTACATTACGTGAGGTAAATATACATCTAAATTTAAAGAAAATATCTTTCATGTTTTAAAATCACAGTTTCTTTAAGTGTTATCAAAACCCATCAGCAATTTGCATTATCTTATAGTTTTGAGTTATTGTGGTTTACTGCTGTGGATTCAGTTCTGACCCATAGCGACCTTGTATAGGGTTTCTGAGGAGCTGCTGGTGAGCTTGAACTGCCGACCTTGCAGTTCAAACCAGCCTTGCAGTCCAGCACATAAACCCACAGCACCACACATGGACTCCATAGAAGTAAAAACTGTTTTTAGCTTTTCTGCGTTTGTTAAAGCTCATATAAATTCTATGTTTTAAAAATCATAATAAAATGTCCATGTGGTATCTGACTTAAAATTTAAAACTTTCATAATTCAAAGTAGTTTTCAAAGTAATTGAACAAGACTTACTGAATGTTGAGTATAATTAGAATTATGATAGCTACTATTCATTGAATGTTAACCATGTGCCAGGTACCAGCCTGAGTACTTCATGTAAGTTACATCAACAGAGAGGAAGCCTTATGGTGGGAAGCAAGGTATTCATAAGAGGAAATAAACATACAGTAAAGTTCTAGCTCATTATTAAATGTAAATGAATATGTATCTCTCCCCCTACCCCCACCTCACATCCTGTTTCTAAGCCTAAGATGTGTGTTCACAGATAAAGAATTTCTCCTTTATATTTTTACATTAGGGTTAAAAGGAAATATTATTGACTAAGAAAAAAAAAAAGAAAAAAACCTGTTTGAACTAGGTTATAACTTTGTTGCTTTCCTATTTTTTAATGATAAATGTTTTAGCAGCATTTCTCTTTCCTAGTTTGAATTGTATGAGGGAGCAACAAACAGTTGGTGGGAACATGGAATTGAAAGATAATGGAGTTTTTCCATGAACTTTTTGAAGCCCCCTTATGTATATTCTTAGAATAGTAGTTGTTAGAATCTTGACTGACTTCTTAGATGTTTTATATTCTTGGCATTTATGTAACTTTTGCATTTGCTTTCAAATAAGGATTTGGTGAGTGAGAAATTAAAGACTCAACAAATGAATAATGATCTTGAAAAATTAACTCATGAGCTTGAAAAGATCGGGTTAAATAAAGAGAGACTTTTGCATGATGAGCAGAGTACTGATGACAGGTGAGTATTAAGTCTGTTTGGCCCACCGTTCAATGTTTTTCTTCTTGTTTAAACATTGATTCTTTTCTTGAAAAATCTATAAGGGGGGGCTTCAAATAATTTGTGGAAACTTCTGGTATCTTTCAAACCCACAACTTTTTGAAGCCATTGCATGTGTATTTTACCCTTGCTTTTAGTTCCTTTCTTCCTGTAGAGAACTTGATAAGAAATAAATACACATAATCCATGAGTAAAAACAATCTAATATCAATACAGGAAAAAAAAAACAACAACACTAAAGTTTTCCAAATAGAAATGAATGCCACCTAGGTAGCAGAAAATTTGAAGTTATAATTATCTGTGAAAATTAGACATTAACAACAAGCAACTTTTCACTTTTTGTGAAATGTAATCAATTAAAGGAGTTATTTTTCATTAAATCTCATTCTTAAATGTTTCAGTTCTTTTAGTTTGTGTACCAAAATGTGGACTTAAAAGAGAAGTAGAAGAAAAGTATAAAGCAAAGGAAAATAAGACCTGATAAAGCAGGATGAAAACTTGTCTGTGTACCCATTCATTTTGAAGATGTTCAATAGAGGTGTAAAGAAAATTTCTATTCTCCAATAGTAATTCTATTAGAGATCATCTGAGTTTCAAGTAGTCCAGTACGTAGAATCCAGTCTTTTATGTGGTTCTTTCTAGAACAGCAATTGTGTTTTGTTAAGAGTATTATTTTATGTAGATTAGATTTTAAGTACTGGAATTTTTCATTTTATGTCATTTGTATTTTATCCATTGTTACTGTTAGTAATGAGTGTTAAATTAAATGAATGTATAGAAAAGGTTTGATTACATAGGATTTGTTTTCTTAATTTCAAAAATAACAAAAAGTAAATATACTGCACTATAAAAGCTAGGTCAGCAATAACAAAGGAAAGTAATATAAGATACTTTTATAGCACTTTAAAGTCTAATAACCATGGCTGACTTAATTATACAGGTATTTCATGAAGAAATAATTCTGAGTTAGGTGGTAATTTAAGTTGACTGTCTTTTATTATATGAGGGTAAGTGAAAATTATTGCTACTAGGGTTTCACTTCATCAATGCATTGATTTATTCCAAGTAAAACATTTAAATACTTTTCTGTAACCAGTGGATGACTGCAGACAAGTTCTCTCAGTAATACACTTATCATAGTGTTCTTAGGGTACCTTCAAAAACATTGACTTCTGGCGATCTGCTGGTTCAGTTAAATTCTTGGCAGACACATATCAGCTCAGAAGGTTATGGAGAATATTTTTTGAGAATCCAAAGGAGGTAATCTTGATAGATTTTCTTGAAGACACAGGATGGTCTTATGAGCTTATTACAAAGTCTTCAGAAAACAGAAAACTGCATTGGTGAGAAAAAGGCCAGGAAAATTTCACCAGGGAATTTTTTCCCATCACAGCAATTCATCTGCTCATTCTTCAAAGGTAACCATGACTATCCTATGAAAATTTCTTTGGGGAACATGATTTGAGTCCCTCCAGGATACCAAAGCTGTCGTTTTGCTTGGTGCAAGTTGAAGAGTGCAGAATTCTTTGGGGGAAGGGTAAGAGAGATTGAAACACTGCCTTCAGAAATATGTAGGCTTGGATGGAGGATTTGTCAAGAAATAATAGCCTCACATTTTGAAATTGTTGACTAAACGTTCTTAAGATTTTCACAGCACTAGGTTTTTACTTACCCTTATATACTGAATGTACATCATTTATTTATTCAAACATTTATTAGTAGCTGTTTGTGACACTCTGCATTTTATTGGGGAGGGAGGAGTGAACTATGCATCTGCTCTGTTATAAATTTCCCAACTCCCACTGGGCTCTTAATGCTGGATGACACTTTTCCCCAAGCCTTAATTTAAATTTGAACTTTTATTATCTGCTGATCATCAAGTATCACAGAAGTGGCAGTGCTTCATTTGAATATGGAAAAATGACAGGTTTGCTAGTGGACATAGTGGGGAGAGCTATTCAGTTCAGAAGAAAACAGTTACATAAAAGCACAAACCTTCAGATCTATTGCCTTGAAACAATTTTAAAACCATGAACTGAAACTGTCTCTCGACATCATTTTTAAACCTAATAGCAGTGTAGCTTAAGTAATAAAAAATGTTTGCCCTGAGCATTGTGCTCTTTTAAAGAAGTCAAGTTCAGACTTACAGCAGTAACCCTGAAGAACAGATGAGTTTAAATTAACAGTGGTGGGATAGGATGAGAGGTAGTGAGAAAGGTGACACACGAAGGATGCAGTGAGCTCCACAGGTAAAAGCTACTGAAAGGATGTGTGTTTTGTTTTGTATATTTTTATTGCACACTCTACCTCTTCCTAAAACAAAACCCCACAAAGGTGTATTTGAGTAATTCATAGAGTGATGTGAAAGATGGGTTAGAAAAGTGTTGTTTTAGAGGCAAGATACAGTCCATTAGTGTATTCTACAAATACTATTAAAGCATTAGACATAGATATAAAGTAATAGATAAAAAATGTTAAACTAAAACATTTAGGAAATAGAATTGAGAGCAGTTAACAGCTTTGACTGAATTTAGGAGATCAGAAAAGGGATAATCTTAAGTCACTAAACCACCTTATTCTTGTGATTAAGTTGGCCATTATGTCACAAAGGAAATAAAAGCTCAGACATAAATTTCTTCATTATTCCATCCCCTCCATCTTGGAATTATATGTATTTTCATCTCTTTGTCAGATACTCTTCCTGATTCCTTTATTACTCTAATATTTCCTGTTGACCTCCTGTGAAGATACAACTATTACACTAATCTTGCCACTAAGGAATATATATAATCTAGTTGTGAAATTGGATCTCTAAATAGATAAATTAATTTAGGAAATTTAGTGGTAGAGTTGTAAACAGAGTGTTATATGATCACTGTCTTGTTTGTTAGCAGTTCTTTTCCTGTCACAAGAACCCTGGTGGTTAAGTGACTTAAGGGCTCCACTGCTAACCATCTACTCCCCTAAAGATTACAGCTTTGCTTACCCAATGGGCCAGTTCTACTCCGACCTATAGGGCTCTGTGAGTTGGTTTTTCCTCTGGCTTCTTTTTCAGTATAGTTGTTGCCTAGGGTTGGGTTTTTTGGAGTCTTACCCATTCATTCTGTATGCTGAGCGTTCCCAACTATCATTTCACTTGAGAGCCGTGTTTTTCTCTGTGTCTTCAACATCTCTAGATGGAAGCAACATAGGTATTACAAGTTTAACTCAGCAAATGTTTTTTAAAATGTTTAAATTGAATAGATGCCAAAATAAGTGAGACTTGTTCTCTAGATGTACCCAATTAACTTAAGAGCTGATTGAGTAGAAAATATATATATATGCTTTCATGATAATGAAAGCATGATGTGATGAAACGTTCCTTAAAAATTTAAGTTTGTGAGTTTTGTTTTGTTTTTGTCATCAGGGTCCTTAAGTATAAGAACTGAAATAACCATTGTCCCTGGTTTATAATAAATTCTCAAACTGTGTTCATTTGCAGTTACTTTTTAAAACAAATTTGTTACTGTAAATTTTCGTTGAATTCACCATTGAAAAAGATAACTAGATTATTGACAGTCCCATCTGTCCGCCTCTTCCCACTGTGTCACCAGCATCCTGTTTCTAAACGTTCTGCAATTACTCTATACCCTGAAAAAAGATAGTTGTCAGGGAGTTTAAAGTCTTAGATGATTGTTTCCTTGTATAAATACTTTTATTCATTATATCATAGGCAATTGCTTGATGATATACTGAATGTATCTTTTTCCTCTTTTATAGATTCTATTCTTGTAAAACTAAAAAGAATAGTTTGGGACATAGATCTGTCAGATATATATGTAT